TGAGAATTTTTTTTTATTTATGTAAAGAAAGATTTAAAACACCAATTGTCTGAGATAGAAGAATATTAAAGAGCATATATAAAAAAATAAAATAAAAATAAAATAAAAATAATTATGGTCAAATCAGGGACCTATTTACGGCTCAAATCTGCACCCCATATTACATGGTAAATTATGAAACCGTGTTCGATGGTTGATTTTACTGCAATTACATAACAGAAAAATGCTTCTTAACAGAATTACCCTTCACACATGATAAAAATACTTATTTGCAACTGCAAAGTTTGGTTTATCACCCACCCGCTTGACGCCATATTAGAATGCTATCCTTCTACCTCTGACGTGGAAGGCTGAGAAGGCCTTCTAAGTCTACCCTACCAAACCAATCGAGCAGACAAAATATTTATGTAGTAGTAGTACATGAGCTATAAAGCTCTTTTACCGACTAGAAACATAAAACATATTTATAATAAAATGTACGTATATACACATAAGAGCACAATTATCACATTAGAGTTTAAAGACAGAAATTCATTTAAACACACAAGTGTAACCAAAGACATTGATAAACAGACATAAAAAGAAATAAATAAAAGACAAAACATTTGAGCAACACACAAAGAAAAATAAAAGGAGTCAACATAAGAAAACAGCAAGTACTTAAAACAAATTTCAAAGTTTAGAAAGCACAAAACTGTAAAAAAAAGAAAATAAATAAATAAATAAATTAATAATATCTTAAGACGATCATCTATAAACTAAAACATTAGGTATGAGGCATAGAAGTCTGGAGTCTGCAGGAGCTGCATTTACAATGTAGTTCTCCGCACCAAGTTGAGATATAATTTGAAAATTGATTATATGAGGAGAATTGCCTGGCTTCATTGGGCAGAGAGTTCCAGAGCTTTGCTGCCTCATACCTAAATGATTTCATCCCACACCTTGTTGTTCTTGGTCTTGGGAGTTCTGCAGTATTTGTATATCTAAAATTGTATGAATTATTTTTAAAAATCTTGCAAAAAGAGGGACTTAAACCTTGGAAAATTTTAAAGGTTTCTAGAGCAATGGCACGCATTCTTCTGGTTTTCAAAGATGGTAGTTTAGATTTATGTAAAAGACTTTCATAAGAACTTTTATAATCTTCATAAATAAATCTTAGTGCTCTTTCCTGAATTTTCTCTATTTTGCGAGTGTTTTGCTCAGTACAAAAATGCCATGTTAAGGGGCAATAACTAAAATTTAACATGATAAAAGAGTGATATATTGTAAGTTTTCCTAACTTAGTTAAGTGCTTTTCTAACCGTTTAAGAACATTTAATTGCCTTGCAGCCTTTTTGCACATGTTTGTAATATGTGTATCAAAAGACAACTTGAAGTCTATGGTTATACCTAGCAGCTTAACTTCATCCTCACAAGGAATTTTGATTCCATCTAAATCAAACGCAATGTTTTACTTTGTGTTTTATATCCAATAGAAATTGCCTGAAATTTTTCAGGATTGGCTTGCATTTTATTTGAAGAGAACCATGTAATGAGAGATTTGCTATCATGTTCTAAAATTTCTATTTTTAGTGACCATGGCAACACCGTTCAATGAAATCAAAAACCGATGTACAGAATTATGTATCTTAGTGTAGTCTACTTGTGTGCCAAGTTATATTGAAATCAGACCAAAACTGTACGAGGAGTAGCATTTTGAAAAATTGTTTACAGACAGACAGACGGACGGATGCCGGACGCATTACTATCGCATAAGCTCTTCTGGTCTCTGACCAGTAGAGCTAAAAAAAAAACTGACAAATTTATTCATGTCCAAAATCTTCGGTTCCTACGGTCATGCATTTTACACATAGGTCAATATCTACTAGCGCGGATCCCGCATTTTTCCCCGAAGATGTCGACGTTTACAATACCCCGGTATATAGATCTGAGGAAAATCAATGATAAATCAAAATTCTGTTGAAAAGTGTCATTTATATACATTACTGCCTTCTGTCTGATTTATTGCGTAAAGTAGGTACTCCGATTTTCTGGGGTTTTTTTTCGTTCCCGAGTTCTAGCTTCTATATGAAGCATCTGCTATATGAATTTGTGGAAACCCCCAAGTACATCAGTAACATTACATAGTCTTTGTTTCAACAAGAAATGTTGTTCCATACTTCTATTCACAAGATGATTTTCTTTATAATACATGCACATTTGGCTATGAATTTACTCTTTTAGCAGTATCTTTGCAACAACTTACTAAATATATAACCCTAATAATTCAGGATTTCATTATTTTATTTATTTCAAGATAGATTGAGGGAAATGCTACATTACATATAACGATATCACAGAACAGAAACTGGATATAAAAGTATAAAAAAAAAATTCTGTGATTAAATCATACATAACAGAATCTGCAAAAATAACAAGCAAAATGTCCATCCATTCTATTGAAATGGCACAGTGCAAGGAAAAAAAGCACAATCACATAAATATTTCATCATGTTGTATATATATTTCATTTTTTTTCTTGTTATCTGGTATTACTCAAAAGTTTTGATAAAAAACTCTTCTCTGGTTTTATTTTTAAGCAAGATATGTTTGTGCGTTTGTTATTTCCAAACAAACTCAGTACATCCTTTTTTTGTGGCAGACCCCTTGTAAAAGACAGAATTTATATGTATACTTTAGAATGATGTTTTTACAATTTCTTGCTACAGAAATGTTGTTAAAGAGTGAACACTCGCCATAATAACTACTGGAGGTATAAGGAATTTTGGCGAGCGCTTGCAAACGTTCGCTCTGCTGAACAGGCCTCTGGTCTATTTCTGGCAGCTTTTTTCCTGCTACAGATTGTATATACATGTGAAATTTGATGAATTCTACAGAGATTGTAAATGCACTATAATCCACACATACTTTGACAAAACTAAGAGTATATTCTTCATAAACAAGTAATAATGATACAAAAAAATTACAAATTAAAAAAAGGAAAAGCATAAAGGCAATACATTTTGGCATTGTAATGTAAACAAAATAAATAAAACAAAGTAGTATTTACAATATTATATCCAATACCTGAACAACATTGTACCATAGACTGGATGTGAATGGAAACTTAATATGAAGATTTGAAAAATACCAAATAAAATTTAAACACAATCAACAGACTGGATTGCGACATTTTACAATTGAAAATTTAAGAATAAACTTTGATAGCCAGCTCTCTTTGTCCTGAAGCTCATCTATTTGGGGTGGCAGTAAAAAAAAGAAGTGTTGGATCAAACTGAGCACTAATTGAGGGTTTTCAACATGTAAACATGTCATATTAAACATGCACACTTTACCAGTGCCACTGAAGGTGACTACAATATTGATATTTTTATAATACTTCATTCAGACTCATTCTGGATTGTCCTGATTTGGCATTCAGTCAACATGAGAAAATCGGCAGCAAAATCAAGTAATGCTGGTACTTTTAAATAACAAGAATCACCATTCAATTAAAACGAAACATTTGTGAAAATAAAAATATAATTCAATTAACCTTTTGCATAGTGTGGATTGAACAATTTTAAGCTGAACATAACTTGTCAATATGCTTAAGCCTCATTAGTTTTCCTATCTCATATATCAGCACTTGAGTATACCCCTCACATTGATTGCAACTTGCTGCATTCATGTCACAGATACTTGCAAGGCCAATACATGGTCTAGTAGGTTATCCTGCATTTATTTTGATTACATTTACTGTTTATACATGTTTGTGATGTGCTTTTCTGCACTAACCTATGCAACTGATTCACATTTTTTCTCCAGTCCTTTTAGAAGCATGCAGTTACATTTGTCATTACTGAGTACAGTATTTTACAATTGCTAAATATATCCCTCCTTTCAGGTGGGGAATGAAATGTTTATTACACTAAATCGAAACCAGTAAATGCCTTACATAGCAGAAGAGAAATGTTACAAATCTTGTTCAGCTTTAAATTGAAATTCATCAAAACCAATGCATCAAAATCTTGCTGGATTTCTACATTCATGTGCATTTTTATGCAAGATTTCTTTTCTTGGTATAAATGAAAACATGAAATATGACACTAACTATTTATACTAATTTTTCTGCTCTGCACAATATATTCCCCACCTCCTCCCAAGAGTTTTGTTCTATTTTGGAGAAAACAATTGTATTAATAAAGAAAAGTTGGAATATTGTTACAACTTTGGTGTTCAAGTTTGATCAAGAAGCAAATCTACCAATGCAAGCTGCCTCAGTAAAAATCCATATTATGCAAATTGATCATTACACAAGATTAATGCATTCAACATTTCTGTGGTAGGAATGGTTTTGGTGTGTATCTGTCCTATTTTTTTTTCTAACAGCAGTTATAAAAACTTCCTCCAATAAAATGGATATTTATAGGGTCTGTCGTGGAATGTACACATCTAAAATCTTCTCATTTCCGAGCGTGTGAAGAATCTATTCATTTCAGAGAGTATTCTCAACAACCTCTTGATACAGTTAAGCACTTGAAATATAAACCTTTGGATACTTAACAATCAAAATTAATCAAAGAAATGGTGACAAGTTTTTTTGACCAAATAAAATTGTCAGTCTTGAATTTGAATGTTTTAAACAAACACTATACATGGTAAGTAAATGTGCCACAGAAAAAAAAATTATATAACTGATTTAAATTTGTGAGGTGGGCCTAAACTGTAGATAGTATGGCAGTGAAAGAGTTGGACTAATAAAAAGAGTCGTAACTACTGAAGCAGTAAATCATAAATTTGACATCAGCCTTTCGGGAAAAAAAAAAAATTCCTCTCTGTTTTCAACTGTAAATTTTAGACAACTTTGTTGTTTAGACAACAATAATAACATTTGTCTTGATAGATTTCACTAATTTTGATATGAAATGTAACATGATAAAAAAGAAAAATGGAATTAAGTATTAAAAATAACAAACAATTAAAGATATAAATACATCCCTACAAGTGTTGATAGAGAACAGTTTTTATACTGACTATTGTGACTAAAGGTAACATAAAGATGTTCACATCATCAAACAAACTGGTAATTTTCTCTTGCTACACCAAAGTTCATTTTTCCTAGAGGGGGTGGAGTTTGTCCAGGTAGAGAATAAAGGTTCATCCAATCTATTCTATTGGGGCGGTTCAATCCACAGAATTGGAAGTCTAATATGTCAACAAGGTTTCTGATTGGTCCACGGCTGCAAACACAAAACAAATCAATCCTTTTTATGATGATAACAATTTATTTCACTGATTTTCAAGCATGTTTGATTGATTTTTTTAAAAAGTAGCATCAAGATAAATGTAAATACTGATAAACTGGGATAACTTTTTATGTAAATATTGCCCTTTAAATATCACATAATGTTTCTTTATTGATCAAATCAAATCATGAAAGGCACAATGGAATATAAATCTACAACCAATGTTAATCTCCCTATTTGAGGCATTTTTCCAATTTTTAACATTGAAATTGAAGAACTAATTAATCATAATGTAAACGTAAAACATTGGAAGAAATATTTAAGCATTGCGTTATTTTTTTTTTTTTTTGAAAGCTGTAGTTTCAGTGTGTACAAACAAATTGTGTAATGTGTAGCAGTACAGAGGAACCAGATAATGTAAGTGACTTACTCAAATGGATTTTGTCCTTTCTGTTTAGATTCCCCGCTCGGCCCGTGACTGTGACCATGACCTCTACGATTGTGGCCTTGGCCGTGACTCTCCGAGAAGTTCCCGTATAAATATTTGTATCTCCCATGATTCATTCTCTCGTTTGTGGTCATCCCAAGCCAAACCACCTACAACAAATCACAACTCTACTATAAATAACGGGAATAAAAAGATATTCCATTTCCCTTGTTTTAAATGAATGTTGTATGTACAGAAAATTCAGAGCTACAGATCATTTGTGAAATAATTTTTAAAACACACAGATCTAACTGTGATAAACTACTTATTGAAAAATAACAGAAATGAAAATAATAGACAAAAATGTTCTTAAAAATTACTGGCTCCAGATAAATGAAGCACCCACTTTCTGCAATCTGAATACCTTGTCTGTGTCCTGATAAAATTGTTCTCCTGTAAAGCTGTACATGATTGAAATAAGTCAAGGCTCGCAGATAAACTGCAATAAATCCCTGACTTTATAAGCCTACCTGATAAAGCTGACAAGACAGGAGTACAGTCACCCACACAATGTGAATCATAGCGTTCGTCCCCACCCAGAACACCCAGGGGGAGGTCCTCAGGACTTTGTACAGGATACCAGTAATTCCGTCCTCATAGATATCAAACGGACAATTAACTCTCCAATCTGTCAAAATAATCAAATTTCTCTAATATTATGAAGACTTTTCAGAAACAAACATCTGTATCATAATTTAATTTGTCTTGAATAAAAAATATGTATCATATGGGTTATACAAATGTTTGTACCAGTAACTTTAAATACATGTATGTGTATAACTTACAAGCCAAGGTTCCATGAACACACCACGACAACATAAACAGGAGAAAGAGAAGGAAACCAATAAAGTATTTGTGGTTGTAGGCACCTACAAAGAAATCACATCACTAAAGACAAAGAAATGAGAATAAAATCAAACACACAATTTTATAAAGAACATACCTATATTTTGTATATCAATACTGGTGTCTTCTTTATAATTTAATGGATGTACTTTAAGTCCCCAAACAAAAATTACACGCAATGATGCATATGTTATTTTATGAAGGTAGAGATTCGCGATTCTTAAAATATTTTATGGAATGAAAAAAAAAAATCTGTAAAATGCAATAAAATGTGCTTAAGGACATTTGATCCTGAGATTTTGAGCGTATTTCGGTCAGGTCCTTTATTTATAAAATTAAGCATCATTTTTAAGTTCTAACAATGAAACTAAATTCTACAATGCAAATTGAACTATATTCAATGAAAAAACCGCGATTAAATTCCACTCAAGTAGAATTAAGCTAGGGACTATATTTTGTGGCGGAAGGTTTTTTAGACGAAAATGATCAGTTTTTTCCAATTTGAACTATACAGTACTGTTCATTTTGGATTCCTATTTTTCCATGCTGGTTGCACACAAAGCTGTTTTTTGCAGTGAAATGTGTTATGCTGGTT